GATGTATGCATCACGTGCCATTCCTTGATGTATGCATCACGTGACATTCCTTGATGTTTGCATCACGTGACATTCCTTGATGTTTGCATCACGTGACATTCCTTGATGTTTGCATCACGTGCCATCCCTTGATGTATGCATCACGTGCCATCCCTTGATGTATGCATCACGTGCCATCCCTTGATGTATGCATCACGTGACATCCCTTGATGTATGCATCACGTGACATCCTTTGATGTATGCATCACGTGACATCCTTTGATGTATGCATCACGTGACATCCCTTGATGTATGCATCACGTGACATCCCTTGATGTATGCATCACGTGACATCCCTTGATGTATGCATCACGTGACATCCCTTGATGTTTGCATCACGTGACATTCCTTGATGTTTGCATCACGTGACATTCCTTGATGTTTGCATCACGTGACATTCCTTGATGTATGCATCACGTGACATTCCTTGATGTATGCATCACGTGACATCCTTTGATGTATGCAGCACGTGACATTCCTTGATGTATGCAGCACGTGACATCCTGTGATCCATTTTTGCATCTTTTCAAGCTTATCACTTGTGTCAAATACTTTTGAAACAAAGTATGTGATTTTATTTAATAGGATAAATGATTGCGAATGGCCTTGTGGTGGTTTACAGTAAATTAAGTTGTTTGCTTTTTTTTCAGGACAAAAGAACCAGAGTTGCTTCCTAAAACACCATCTGTAAAGAATAAAAGAAGGCGTGTTAAAACTAGGAATAGTTTTCAACCTGGAAAAATTGAAGAAGCATCTACACCACCTGCCAAGAAAAGAAGGTTGTACTGAGGCTGCTTATTTTGCTTATTTTACATGATTGTTCTGAGAACCAAGAATCACATATTTTTTTTATAGTAGCCAATTACATGTACTGTAATTACCTGACTTAGTGCCTTGGGAACTCAGCTCCAAAAATCATGTGTTTTAAGGGGCAACCCCTGAAAAAAGCAGGGTTCTCTGCGAGGGGTTTTAACAGGGCGGGGCGCCCCGTTATCTGAAATTGGCAAATGACAATCTTAGTTAATCATGTGCCAGTTTGAGGGGAACATTGTGCCCCTTTGGGAAAAAATAAAAATACTTTTACAACAAAGATAAAACACTTTTACATGTACAACAAAAAATAAGCATTTTACTACAATATTGATTATGTGAGAACACAGCTTTGAAGTATAAATTTACATCACTACACTGTACCTTAAGTGTAGGATGTGTTTAATCATAAATTCTCATGCTCTTTCGCCACGAATACAAAAACTCTGTATCGTTAATACATTGTATTATTGTTAAATGATGCAGTATTATAAAAATATAGCACAAGAGTATTGCTTCTTCTCGTATTTTGGCGTTTGGTCGCTCACTTTTACTTTAGCTAAAGTCGGAAACAATCAACTGTTTCAGGATAGGTGAGCATGGATACAACATGAGAAGTATCTCAATTTACTCTTATACGAGTAATCAATTTCAACCCCGAAAAAATCTGTTTATTTCAGTGGAACACAAATCCAAAATGTGTGGTTTGAAACTTTTCATTGAGTTATTATTTTTGTCATTTAGAGAGACAAGCAAGCCATCAAGTGGTGATGAGGATATTGTGCAAGTTTCAGAAAATGAGAAAGATTCCCAGAAATCCATGTCAAGAAAAAGAAAATCCATGCGTAGCAAAATTGTGGTGGTTGTGTCACCATCCAAAGTGGAATCAATTGAAGAAAAAGTTGAGACTGTACCAGCTCCTCAAGAAAAAGTGAATGTTTCAAAAGTTGTTGAAAAACTAAGTGTACAAACTACTACCTTTTCTACACCGACACAAGAGGAAAGAAATACTCGGAATACTCAGCGTATTGTCACCAAGACTGTGCGGCAGAGAATGAAAGCACAGTTACCAAATGGACAGATGTCTACTCCTCTACAGATGGCTAGAAAATTAAGAACTCGTAATCAGAGAACAAAGCTAGGAAGTTTGAGAAATAAAAAAAAAGAAGCCATTTCACCTAGTGTCACTGTAGAACCAAAAAAGGAGGAAGAGGTTGCAGTTAGTGTATTGGATATTGAGAAAAAGAGCAATTGGTCACCTAAGGTAGAGCTGCGTCACATGATAGTTAACAATAAAGTTAAACAGTTGATTTCTAACCATGAAGTTATGATTGCTAGTTCTTCCGAGGATGAACTCTCGTCTCCTAAGCGAATTAAAATTCAAAAAGAAAAGAAACCAGAAACAGAGAACGTGAAACAGCAAGATGGAGAAGATTCTTCTTTCACAACCATGGAGCTTCAGAAATCAGATGAACCCCTGACTACGGATGTGAAACAGAGAGATGAAGGTAATACAGAAGAGAAATCTCTCTTTCCACCTGTCTCCTGTGATGAAAGTGAGAGTTCAAAGCAAGTGGTAACTAGTAGTGATGAGACAAGTGGCACACATCATTCAGGAACATCAGGTGGGGAGAACTGTGTTGTAACAAAGGCAAAAGATTGTGCCTCAAGTAGTGAAGTGGCAGAGACGCTTTCAGAAAGTGAAGATATTTTTTCTGAAGCTGTTGTCACTTCATCTCAAGATGAAAACAATGGGAAGAGTGAAGTTTCTGAACTGACAAGTGATGTTGTCATGGTAACTGCCAGTTCTGATGTGAAGACTGAGACTGATGAAGAGATTAAAAAGTATGAAGACAGTCTGGATGAGACTAAAAATGTTGAGATGGAACAAGACAGTCTGGTGGAGGAAGCTCCAAGGAGACAGCTTCGTTCAACTTGTCCTGTTATAGAAGTTGTTGAGATTGAATCCGAGAAAAAAACCAAGGCAGAGAGTACAGGCACTAAAACCAAGAGACTCACAAAGAAACGTAGCAGTGTGAGAATCTCCACACGTGCTTCTAAGGATGTTACATACATGGAAGATGACAGCTTGAATGTAGAACCTCAAAGACGACAGCTACGCTCTATGTCAGTTGCTCCTACTGTTGAAAATGAGGAGACAGATCAAGTGGATAATAAAAAACGTCCAAGCAAAGCAATACGGTAAGTCCAAATTCTATTTTATATTCTATTATATATTGCTAGATGCGGTATTTATTTATAAACCTACCGTAATTCCTTTTTTGCCACCATCTTATTTTGCAGTAATGTAACAATAGACTGAATTTGAATTTGTATAACAGGGGTGAGAATATCAGTCTTGGTGTTTAACCATGTGCTTATTAATGGATCAAGTAGTGTTCATTGATGGAAGTAATACAACTAAAAGGTATGTTATGATAACAAGACTTTATTTTATTAAATACAGTACCAAGCAGAGAAAAGGAAGGAAGACTAGTAAAAGAAAATCCAGTATGTCTGCTAAACGTACCACTAGATCTAGAAGTATTATTCAAGTTATTGAAATCCTCTCAACAACAGAAAGTGATGGTGAAAAGGTACATTTATATTCAAATGCTATGCTATGTTTTGTTAATATTGGGAAACTGAAAAGCAGTGTTGTGGTTATGTCCATCTCTATTTTAGTATGCAATGATTAAGATAGATAGCAGGTCCCAATTAATAAGGCCTAACAATTTATCACAATTTCTTGCTTCACAATTTTACAGTTTTACAAAACGTTTTCAGAAAATTGAGGGATTATTCTATTTGCAATAATAAAAAACAGGGTCACTGACCTTGTTCATATTACAGTTATTACACAGGCTCTATGAGAAAAAACTTAAAAAAAACTTTCCATATATAAAACACAGCTTAGGGTAATGGTGGAGAATGTAGAGAACAATATTTTCTACAAATAAGAATATTGGATCACTGACCTTTTTTAAGCTGTATTCAAGTTAGAATTGTTTGTACCACACTAATACATGTGTGATAGAATGTTTTCTTGCATGAAAACACATCCACTTTGAAGGGTTGGTGACACACAGTGTGGGAGTCTTTGCAGTTAGTGTGTCTGTCTCAGTCAGTTCCACTGATATCTCAAGAACCATGTGTTGGTTTTGATGAAACTTGATGCATAGATGCTTTGGGGTAATGTGCAGATTTGAATAGGTTTTGGTTTATTATCCATGCATATTACTTACTTAATTTGCATATTAATTAGCAAATTTTAAGCATTTCCATTTGTTTATCATATACTATTCAACATATTTCAATGAAACTTGGTACATAGATGCCCTGAGATATTGCACAGACTTGTCCAGTGCATGTTAATCACCTAATTTGCATATTAATTAGCAAATTTTAAACATTTTCACTTTTTCTCCAATACCATTGGTCAGATTTAAATAAAACATGGAACTGCCCTGATCATTGCTTGTTATAGAAATGATAAAATGTTAATTGAACATCAAGTTACAATTTTGGTGTGGTTTCTGAAATGTGGGCGTGGTCATTTTTGTAACTATGGTTTCGTAACTTGAGAAATTTAGCATCTCTCCTGACACATAATTATTAATTTTGACACATTTAGTGAACAATACCATAAAACATTATTTATTGAGTGGCAACCAACTACCAACTCTTACTGACATTAATTTCTAATGTGCTTTAGGCTGATGATGAAAGAAGTCCTCACAGAAAGATTCGTCGTTCTGACCCAGATAAAGTTGAAGTTGTGGTGTGTGGTTCTAATAGTACTATTGACTTATTTGAAGACAGTTTGGAACCAAGTGGACAAACTCAATCCCAAGAAGAGGATCATGCTGTTAGAGGTGAGGTTCAACCACGGGATATTGTCATACAAACAGACTAAGCACTCTTTCTATTACTTATTAAAGTTGACTTAGTACTGATCTCTTTCGAAACTCCCCCAAATTTAACTGTCAAGTCATGAAATGTAAGTATCATTTTTTTTACTGAGGATATCACAAATGTTTCAATTCAGACAAGTAAGAACTTTGCTGATGTAAAAATGCACGACTGTTCAGTAGCTTGACAACATTGCTAATTATTTATCTTTTGGAATTTTCAGAGCCTTTTAAGAGACCAGCTGTTGAGTGCACAATTGAGGATGCAGAGGACAGTGTTTCTTGTTATAAAAATGCTAAATTACAACATTCGTCTCCAGAACTACAGAGGTATTGTATACACATAGTTGTAGTGTGCACTATCAAAACTACTTTGTTTTTAATTTTGTATCTAACTACTATTTTTGACCAACACAGTCAGATAAAGCATTCGTGGTTTGTAATGGATTCAGACTATTTTAAACCCAGTGTATGAGTACTTTCTGGTTCTGCTTATTCGTGTGTTAATTCTATTGCTTTATGGTTAATAATGTGTTCATAATACGAGGCCTCATATTTCCTTTTGAATTGCTCTTGGTTGTAACACAAGAAAATGAGTTCTTTACAATATATTGTCTTTGATAGAACAATCACATTTATTTGCAAGTTTTGTGGTGATGTTTAATGTTCTGTAAATTACTTAAATTTTACCATTGTATATTGCAAACTATCGTAGCAGTGAACATTTCTCTGGGATCCTACAGTGACTTTTGATAAATTTTGTCTTCTTGAATCCCATAAAATCTTTAAACATTCCCAGCAGTGAAAATTAAATGCATTACAGTAACCACTTGTGCCAAAGTAATACATGTCATTTGATTTGTTTTAGGCATGCATCTAATAAAATCACTTCACCAACAACTAGCAGTGATACTGGTCACAGTAATGACAGTGAAGCTTATAGTATTTCTCCAGTCTCTGCACCTAGATCAGTAAGTAATCAATAGGATTGATTTTCTAAATATTCAACTGACCATTGGATGGTGTTTAGCACATGAAAATCTATTGACATGATGACTATGTTACACTACTGTGGTTTTTCAGTTTGAATCCCAAGGTAATGTACTGCCGGAACTATTTCAATGCTAAAGGTTTTTTTAATTCCTGTATATCATTGTGTATCATGACAATTTAATATGCAAAATACTCGTATATGTACCAACATACTATTGTGAACCAACTGCCTGATATATGAAAATTATTAGGTATTTGTTGCTGTGAACTTTGTTTTTTAAAGCATCTTTCATCTTGAAATGGAGCATAATCATTCCATATATAGGATGTAGATTCCCCATGCAATACTGCAATACAATTATGGCCTCCTGTAACTTATTATGATACAGTGACAGATGTATAATATGACAGAGCCCCACACACTCTCCGTGGCTTTCGTTACATATGGAAGTTATTTTCACAACTGATGCGGTGTATCCTGTGGCCGTACTTTCACGATTGAAGCAAGTGAAAGTACAGCAGTATACACTGCATTTTGTCGTTTGTGTTTCTGTAACATATTCTAGGTGTGCTCTTAGAAATTATGTTTGAGGTAAACTTCCAATAATATTTATTTCATAATGCAATAAGGTTTCACTGCTTGTATTCTTGTAGAAGTATAGACATCCAGCTTCATTCTTGAATGCTCTAACTAAAACACGTAAAGACAGTGGCAATTATTCTACTAATAATGGGCTTATTACATCATTTATCAAGAGAAATACACCGATTAAAGCTAAATCAATAAAGGTATGTGAATTGCAGGAAATGTGTACAAAACATTCAGTTTTCAAAGATTTTTAGCATGTGTGAATGTTGGAGATTTGATCAGAACACGGTTACTAAAAAAGATGGTTAGGAAACGCTAGTGTTAAAAGGATGCGTGTTGCGTTGTGTACGCCCTCTATCGCTTGAGATTTCAAGGCCCACCATTTTTCTTGTGTCAATCACTTGATTTCCCGCGAATTTGGAATTTTCAGCTCATTTTGGATCAGTACTCTTTGTGACTGTGATAACATTCAGAATCGAGAATCGTCATTTATCGTTTTCACTGTTGTCATGAAAGTAAGCTTGGGTCCTGGAAGAAAAAGTGATGAAAATTCGTACCCCTAAGTCATTATTTCAAAATACATTATATTATAAAAATACTACCAAATCAATTTTTAGTATACTACTGTGCGTTCTTATGACGGTTGTATGCGATTCTGAGGTATATTAGAGTAAATTCTATCGTTGTGCTTTCGCATCACTGTAAGTGTACAGTTGTATCAGCCATTTTGTTTAAAGTCTTTACACTTTTATGTAGACTCTGTAGAAATCGTTAAAAATGTATTCTACATTTTCCATCAGTTTTATAAAATGCCTGTTTAATTGTTCTTGTCTGTCCTTGTTTCAGTTTTTTGGCAAATTTTTCATGTTGCAATATTCAGCCTGCCGTTAAATACGGTTTTAGTCAACACTACAATTTTTGAACACAATAAACTCTTGGTACAACTTTCTTGCAGTCTCTTCGGCAAATCAATTTTTAGAATCCTTTTTAACCGTTCTTAATTTCATTGGAACTGCCTGTTGCTGCATGTTTGGTGTGCTTACATGCATTTTGTAGAGCATGGGTGGGTCATTTCAGTTATCTTATCGCATATTTTGTTTATTTCCAACAAAATGTATGTGGTATGATGACTTTTCATTAAAACTTTCGCATGGCTGAAATATAAACATTTGTATGTTTTCTTTGACATCTTTTTTTCTGATCATGTGTTGTTGGTTTTTTATTTCAGTTTTCTGCTGATCTTGTTTTTTAGAAATGAAAATGCCATACAAGACAGGCAAATTTCTATTAAGTTTAAACTGAGCGAGAGGTTTTGTCAGGATTCACTGGAACAACTTGCACTTTAGTAACTTAAAGCATCGACACAAATAAACAATAAAATGGCGAGCAGTTGCTGATTGCAATGAATTCTGGGGAAAAAATGACATCATATTTGTGTGATTTCCTGTCTACATTTTATGTTAATGATTAGCCTATCTTTATTGCAAATTAGTACGTATTTTGTTACAAATGTTTACCCGCGACACGCATCCAATGAAAAGAACGTGGTTTGTTTCCTAACCGTCTTTTTTAGTAACCGTGATCAGAATGATCTCAGAGGACAACATTAATGTTTTATGTGGTTTAAACATGTCTGTCTTTACTGCTTATTATTAGTCACTGCTTTGCTTCCATATCATTGATCATTCACACATCATTAAACTAACATACAATATATTTCAAGTAATTATGGTTTACAGACTTGATGTTGGTGATATTGCATTGTTCCAACCTTTGTTCCATTACATCATTCATTCATATACATTGACTTCAAATACAGAATTAATTTTTGGACTAAAAGGTCATAATATTCTATTACCTGGTCTTGCTCCGGTCAGGATTACTAAAAGAATTATTAAAAATATACACTGTATTTTTAGTTTTTCTGCTATTATCCAAATTTGTGTTCTTGTCTCATTTGTTGACAAACTTTACTCAAATAATTCACTTGAATGATTCAACTCCATGTCGTGAATTTAAAAATAAAAACATTTGTATTTTCAAATGATTTGATTTTACAGTAAGGTTATGATTTTTTGTAAGTTTCAAAATGCAGTAACCACCTGTAAGATAACACAGATTTGTTGATTTATAGGAACGACAGATAGAAATTAGACAACAGATTGTAAGTAAACAAAAGAAAGATGATGAGATTCGTAAGAAGAGAGATTTGGAAAGAAAACATAGACTTGAAGAACAGAGGCTGTAAGTGATTCTTAAATGCTAAATCCGTGATAGTACTACAATAGTTGTAGATGCTAAATCCGTGGTAGTACCACCTATCTCTTAATACACTTGTATAATGTTCATTACTTGCATTGGTTTTTACAAAAATGCTTACGTTTCAATGTTTTAATTAGCAAACGTGAAGAAAGAGTGAAAAGAGCAGCAGAGGCAAGAGAGCGACGTATTCAGGAGCAGAGAGAGAAGGCTCAGACAATTGCAGAAAAATATGAACAGAAACAAGCTCTAACAGAGAAAGCCAGGGAAGATAAGAAGAAAGAAGAGCTCATCAAGAAGAAGATATTCAACAAAAAGAAAGCTGAGGCTGAGGCAAGACGGAAACATGAAGAAGAGACCAGACTGCAGAAATTCAGGGAGCAGGTACATATATTGACAAATGCTAGTTTTAGTTGTCTGGGCATCTCTAATTAATGATCTAATCAAAAAAGCATAGAAGATTGGCCAAAAATCTGGTGTTTTTGGCATCAACGTTTTTTGCTCTAAAACGCAAGGGCAATAAGACTTGATTTTCACAGACGCAGGGAATTGAGAACAACAATTTTGTGAATATTACTGACTGCGAAAGATGCCCATCACGAAGTGACTTGTGGATAAAATGTCATGATAATTTTGTATTAGCACTAGTGTACATCCTAGTGAACCAAATTGTATTCTCACCAATCATTCCCCACCAATTTTCCTGTACCCATGGTAGCAGAGTAATCAGTCAAAAATTATAGGTGTTAGTGTTGGTGTATTGTTGCACAGAACCTTATTGCATAAGTATTCACTAAAATTAGAGAACTAAATTTATCAGCATGAAAATCAACAAATCTGAGAGGTACACCCAAGGCATCTACATATATTTCCAATAAGAAGTCTTATTATTGATTAAATTAGGGAATTGAAGATATTGTCACAAAATGAACAATATGTATTCTCAATTTCACTTATAAAATAATATGGCATGTATAAAATTTCCAATCAACAGTGCAGCAATATATATATTTTTGAATTATTGTAACCACAAGTAAAATTTATCTTTAAAAATATACAGGACACGCATCAACATCCAAATTTAAACAAACATTTCCCCAACTATACCTTATCATCTATGATAATTGACAAGGTAAAAACTAAGTAAAAGGTTTGAATAAATAAAGTCATGCACATATTAAGAAGACTTGATACAATGTTACAAGGTGTAGTGCATGATGGAGTTGGTGTGTGCAATACTGAGGAATCTAATAAAGCAACTTTGTGACAGTTTGTTAATAGTGGGTTGTTTGTTAGTGCCTAATTAGTCCAGATCTGAGGTGTTTGTGGTCGTTTCTAGTAGTAGTATAGTAGTTGGTTTGTGCAGTTTTATAGAAAGGTTATGTGTGGGTTAAAGTCTTCTTAAATCTCTAATCTGCTACAAATAGGAAGAGGAACAGAAAAAACACCAAGAGATGCTATTGAGAAAGAAAGAATTTGAAGAACAAGAAAGATCAAGAAAACTGGAAGAAGCAAAGAAAAAACAAGAACAAAGATTGGCTGAACTAGAAAAAGAGAGAGAGAAAGAAATTCAGTTGAAGAGAGAACAAGAACTAGAAAAAGAAAGAGAAAGATTGCGATTGAAAGAAGAAAGGTATGAGACAAACTGAAAGTTGTTATTAAGGTAGAGATGCAGTTTATTTGTGCATTTCAATCAAAAATAGTTTTTTTCGTTTTTTATATAGATTATTATCTAAAGAACATTCTGTGAAAATTTGACCAATGAATTCTTATTGGAACACCGTTAAAATTGCTGTTTATTTTCTGATTAAAAATAAAAAACACTCACACGTGGCAATGTTTATGTCCAATTGCCTAATTTGCATGAGTAACCAAACAACAGGACCTTTGATTGACAATATGCAAATCGAGATTGTACGGGTCATAGTTCATTCAATTCACGCGCATGTGCAATTATTCTCAAATCAGTTCTCGCTCGCTAGCAAACCAAACATTGTATTTCCTCAGCGTTTTTTCCTAATTTTTATCATTACATTATGCGTGGTGTGAAAAGAAAGAGAGAAAGTAGATTCAGATGATTTCTATGTCGGAAGAGGCAAAAGCTACACTGAAGGCATCAGCCCACCGAACGAAAAACAAAATCGATGTGAGCGTCCAAACATGACTTTCCCTGAAGGCATGAATCCGAGTTTCTGATTGACTGAGAGATTTTATTTTTAAATAATTGTTCTCAAAAAATAAACTGAGCATGTGAAGAATAATTTAACATTGTTTACAGTGATAACTGCTCATTGTCGAAACGAAGCTTACCCATTCACGCTAGTCACAATAAACATCATA